TCCCGCCCCCCCCCCCCCCCCCCAACTCGCCTGAGCTTCCCGGTAGTAATATGTCGAGACTTTACCAACTCTCCACCCTGCAATTCCTATATCTGCGGCATAATCTAAACCACTCACCAGGATGAGTTCTACCTCCGTCTACACACGAGTTCAGACCTCTGCAATATTGTCCTGCCGATCTAATTGATCACTAACCAGAGACGAAATATCGGGTCGACAAAAGCTGGACTGTCAGTATACAAGTATCCCCGGGCGTGGTGAGTAAAGTCTTGGCACCATCTCACACCCACAGTTAGGCTTTTAAAGATATTTTAAGTAAATATATACGTAGTCCAGAGCCTTAACTATTACACTTAATGTCTAAAAGTAGTGATAAAAGTTATATAGTAGAATATCTCTTAGATTATCCTGATTAGCTAGTTCGACGAATCTCTCTTCCTGATTGGTCTAATGTACAATGCTAAGATACGACTCAGCGTTCGACCGCGCACCCCCAAGCAACTCGTGCCTATCTAGGCAGTCTAGGCAAGCTAGGTAAAGACCGTCACGCTAGTTCTGGCCCAAAGCGTCGATGCTATGGCGCTGCTTTTGAAGCACACCTTTTGCTCATTGGACAAGGGTTGAGCGGGCTAAGCACCCAATCACTATCGATGTCGGAAGCCCGCTACCGACCGAGCGGGGTGAACGCAAGAGCGGCGCAGCCCCCACACATGAACCGCGGCAGTTTGGGGCAGGGAACATGGGGAAGGGGACTGAGGACCGCTTTGCGACATGTACCGCGGGCGTACGCGGGATTAAAATGGGCGTGACAAGGCGTCCTACTGTGTTGCCATAAGATGGTCTCCTCATCCCCTCTGCTCACACAATTCCTGTCTCGACTTTGTTTCAATCCACACTTCTCCTTTCTTCCCCCTCCCCCCAGACAAGATGACTAATACAAACCCATCGATGGGCGCCATCGTCCATAGCGACGTCCTGATAGTCGGGGCCGGATTCAGTGGCATATCCATGCTCTATCGGCTCCGTAAGGCAGGGCTTAACGCAAAGATCTTTGAATCTGGAGGTGACTTTGGTGGCGTCTGGTACTGGAACCGGTATCCTGGAGCCCGTGTGGACTCGGAGTGGCCCTATTATCAGTTGAACATCCCCGAAGTGTATCGCGACTGGGAATTCTCCGAGAAGTTCCCTGGTCACAAAGAGATCCGGGCGTACTGTGCGCACATCGATAAGGTTCTTGACTTGCGCAAGGACGTCCAGTTCAACGCCCACGTGGTGGATGCTCGATGGAGCAAGAGCGATGAGAAGTGGACGGTCAAGACCGAACAGGGACACATTGCGCAGAGCAAGTACTTGATTTTGTGCACCGGCCTTCTACACCGAAGGCACATCCCGGATTTCCCTGGCCTGACGACATACAACGGAGTTCTGCACCACACAGGCTTCTGGCCTGAAGACATGAGTGTGAAGGGGAAGAAAGTGGCGGTCATTGGCGCTGGTGCCACTGCTGTGCAAGTCGTACAGGAGCTGGCTAAGGAAGCTGACCAGCTCACTGTCTTCATGCGCCGGCCCAGTCTGTGCTTACCTATGGGTCAACGGCCTCTCAGTGCCGAGGAGCAACGGTCGTGGAAGGCATATTTTGAGGCTCTATTCCGCGAGGGACGCCAGTCCAATGCCGGGTTCCCAGGCAAAGCTGAACCACGCGGCGTGCTTGACGTGTCGGATGAAGAACGCGAGCGGCACTTCGAAATGCTTTGGCAGAGAGGAGGTTTCAATTTCCTCATGGGGAACTATAGCGACGTCGTCCTGAGCAAAGAAGCGAATCAAAAGGTGTATGATTTCTGGGCCAAGAAGATGAGGCAGAGGATCAAGGACCCGAGGAAGCAGGAGTTGATGGTGCCCGTCGACGCGCCTTACTACTTTGGTACGAAGAGATGTCCTCTAGAGCAGGACTACTATGAGATGCTCGATCGCCCCAACGTCCACATTGTCAATTTGAACCAGAACCCACTCAAGACATTCAATGCCACTGGTATGTTGATGGAGGACGGCACCCAGCTAGATTTCGACGTGGTTGTCCTTGCCACGGGTTTCGACTCGTTTTCTGGATCGTGAGTTCTTGGTTTACCTCGTCCATGCGGAGAAGCATCAGTGCTAACTCGAGAACCCAGGTTGACCCAAATGGGATTGAAGAACAAAGACGGCGTCGATATCAAGGACGTCTGGAAGGATGGTATCCGGACATACCTTGGCATGACGTTTAACGGCTTCCCCAATGCTTTCATGGTCTATACTCCCCATGGTAATGCTCTCCTTCTCTCCCTTCCCGATCTAGACGGGGCTTTCCGACCCTATATGCTGACTTTGCACACACAGCTCCTACCGCACTATCGAACGGACCAACTATCATCGAAGCGCAGAGCGATTTCATCCTGGCCGCCATCGAGAAGCTGGAGAAGGAAGGCGCCAAGACGATTGAGCCGAACCGAGACGCCGAGGACGAGTGGGACGGCATGATCGACGCCATGAATGAGCACACGCTCTTCCCGCTCACCAACAGCTGGTGGAACGCGTCCAACATCCCCGGCAAGAAGATTCAGATCCTGACCCACCCGGGCGGCATCAAGATGTACGAGTCCCAGTGTCGCGACACTCTCAACGACTGGAAGGGTTTCACAGTCGTGGGCAAGGAGACCAACGGCGTCTTGAAGGAGAAGGGCGTGCCTAACGAGAAGAGCGTGGAAATTGCCGTCCCGGTGTAACCTTCCCTCACGAATCGTCGGGACTGTGATGTGTATCTCGATTATAGGGTTGGTAGAGTAGATGGAGGCCAAGGAATCCTCCTTGGCCTCTCGAAGACGATTGAAAACAAACTCGAGCAGTGAGAAGTTTCACGATTCTGCGGATCTTCGTTGGCTATTCACTCGAGCTTCGGAGAAGTTGAACGCAAGACACGGAGACCTGAACCTTGACCACGTAGGACTGGCGATGAAGAGATACCCAGAGCTGGAGTGGACGTTTCGAAACCTAGGCTTGGACGTGGACGAGGCAAAAAAGCGTGCGGCATCTTTGGAACTAGATGAGTTACAGCCTCCCAAGCAAGGTGACGTCCAAGCTGGAATCCTTGGATAGAGCAACCTTCACTGCCCTACAAAGCTTTGACTTCAATGCATTTTCGTGGATCGAAGCGCATTTCCCTTGTGAATGAAGACGAGATGATTCGCCAAATACGTTGTTGGTAAGGCTCTTGCGAGAGCTGAGCTTCATTGCCAGTGTTGAATGCATAGCCTCGCTGATTGCTGACGAGGTTGACGCCATGCTGCCGCCACTGGTTCGTGAAGTGTGTGTGACCAAAGATCCACCAATCTACTCTGCTAATTCCTTCAGGAACTCCGAGTAAATCTGTAGCAAACCCGTCGGCCCATGGATTTTCCTCGTGCTTGGGATGACTGCTTCCTTTCCTGATGGGGGCGTGGTGGGTGATGACAAGGATGGTTTTCTCTCGACTAAGTCGCTTGGATTCAAGTCTGATCAAGTCAACCTCATTCCGCAGCCACTCCAAGTCCTTAGCGTGTTCAGTGTTGTGATCGTCGACACTCCAATCATGTATTCTTCGAAAGTCTTTGATCCGGCTCTGCACCTCAGCTCGGTTTTCTGTTCGTATATGTGACTGGAGAGTGCAACCAAGCACACAGATGGACGGGTCGACGTCCAACCTTGTCCGGTTGAGGACAGACAGCTTTCCTAGCGTACTTGGCTCTCTCTGCAACCTGTAGGCGAGCTCTAGGCCTTCAGCTCGTGAAACGCCATAGAACTCGTGATTTCCAAGGACGAGACACACTTGGTCAAAGTTGGCGCATTGTGTACTTATGAAGAACAGGTAATTTTCGTAGTCGTGCAGCCTGCCAATGTCACCAGCCAAGATGAGAATAGGGGCTTGAACTGGAACCTGGAAACTCTTATACTGGTTTCCCGTCTCGAGATGAAGATCTGACAGAATTTGGAACGCAGCCTGCGCGGACTGGAGCACCCAAGTAGTCGTCGAAAAGTGGGCATCTTTGATGTGTAGGCCAAGCAGCATATGTTGGGAGCTGACGAGGCTGGCGCAGGCAAGTATGTTGGATGTCTGGGGTCACGTGGAATCCAAGTCGCCGCTTGACTTACTTAAAGCAGACAACTCGACCCTTGACCCTTCTCTTTTCTTCCAGCTTTTCATTGTTCACCACCAACTCCTGTCCTTTTATAACAGTATAAACGTGGAACACTTGCAGGCCGCACTGGGCCTCCTGAAGAAGCTCGGTGTCGATCCAGTGACTGTGGGTGAGCTGGCACTCAACTACTATAACGTCCCGTGCATACTACATGTTGTCCTTCTCTCGTTCACTGGTGCTCGTTCAACTAACAAATAATAGGAGATCGAGATATGTGTCCCGAGCTCCCGGGCTACGATTGCGGAACGGGCCCTGAACTCTGTCTTCGAAAGACTTCCGCCTCCTGACACCAACCTGTGCAATGATTACAAAGACGGTCGGCCTCGATATAGGGTAGATGGGGAGGTCCCAGTTGTTCTGCTTAGCGACCTCGGCCTCGGCGGAGAGACTCCGAAAATTGTCGATCAAGAAGAACATGGCGGACAGTCGCTGTACAGTGACGAGATCCTCAGCTTCCTCTCCGTCGAACAAATCAAATCCCTTCCGATACTAACTCTTTCGTCCTTTCTCCAATACCTTGCTGAGCGGAGACACAACACAATGCACCGAATCCAACTAGAGCAGCTAGTCGACGCGATGGGTATTGAGGAAGAATGGTGTCACCACAACCTCTTACACGATGCTCATGTCCGACCCGTCATGGAGCTGGTACAAACCAAGATGGATCGGGTTGACACGTTTCAGGATCCTCGGGGAATGGGCATCGACACTACTCGCATTCCTGGCTACCAATACACTGCCGACTGATGACCCCTGTTTTGACAGATTGTGGAAATACATGGACCGACTACTGAGGACTTACTCTCCCAAACCCACGTTTCGAACGGCAAACCCCTGGACGAAAAATCGGCTTTTTAAGAGCCTTATTGTTTTATTACTCCACAGACTACGTTGATAGTTGGTCTATCCCCATCCGGATCCACATCGTCTAGTCCACAGTTGTAAGGCGTATACATCGGATATCTGTCCTGCGCAGTAGTTGCCCGCACGGCTACATATCATCATTCTTTCAGACAATCCTCATTACCCGCATGAACGCCTATTACAGACCCACCTATCGACACCCACATGTTAGCCTCAAAGCGTTGGCGTCTTGGCTCCAATGAAGTATAACAGAAGACGAAATCGCCAGCGGTGATTGGACAGCCTTGCGCAGCCTTGGGAAAGAATGGTTGTCAAGCCTCGACCATACCTCATTAAAAGCAGGACAGGTTCATATTCAATTCATATAAGCGGGATGCCGAAACCCTCTTTGGTCCATGCGACACAATACTCTTCCTCATTCATCCACTCTTTCTTGAAGATGCCAAGCAAATAGCTAGTACTTCAAAATCTGCCAGCTGCGTAAAGAGAAGGTGTGCCGAGTAGAATTGATCCAGTCAGGCCAGTTCAACGTGGGAAGAGATATTCGATGTCTTTAAATCCTGTACTCTGCATCGAAGGATAACTCTTTTCAACTGCTGAAAAAGGAATGTAATCACATGTATGGCGTGTTGAAGTCAGTGCCTCTACAATTTATTAGCGCGGAAACCCCTCCCGCAAAGACTTGTCTGCAGTAAGGAAGAGCAGCTCAGCCCATCTCGTTCTGTTCCCACCCTACAGAGCCCCGGCTGTCTCTTCTCTAAACTTCTTCGTCCCCAGCTGGCTCGTGTCGTATCCGTGCTCCTCGAGGTAGCGCTTGAACCTCTCGTCCTCCTCCTCGATCATGCCCTGGCCGACGTTGGGTAGACCGACAAACGCCACGACCGCGCTGAAGATGCACAGACTGCTGCTGACCCAGAAGGGATATTGCCCCTGCTTGACCGTGTCGTCGCCTGCAGCGTCGATCAAGAGCGGGAACACATACGTGCCGACAAAGGCGCCGACTTTTCCCCACGCCGCTGCAATGCCGTAGAACTGTCCGCGGATGGGCGTCGAGGAGAGCTTCGATGCGAAGAGCCCAATGTTGTCGCCGGGGCCGACCTCTCCCAGGGCCATGAAGATGCCGGTCAAGATGATGAACCCGGCAACGCGCGAGGGATGGTTCAGTTCGCCGTAGGCGCCCGTCATGGCGAATCCGACGATACCTTGCAGCGTGACACCCACGATCAGGCACCATTTGGGACCGATCCAATCAGCCAGGAAAGCACCAAAGAAGGAACCTGGAATCCAGAAACTGCGACCATCTATTAGCCCTGTCACTGAGAGCTGGCCCGAACCCCGTCGACGTTCTTCCATCCGGTTGTATATTAGAACCGCTCAACACAAGAGACTCACCTGTTGATTGCGGTAGCCATTCCGAAATTCTTCCACAGCGGCGCGTCGGTGGGGAGGATAAAAACCAGCCATGATGACGCAAAAATGCCAAAAGAATAGGCAGAGAAGTTCTGCGTGCGGCTAGGTCAGAACAGGCCATGGTGGTGGACGCGACGATCAGACTCACGTAGACAAACCAGATGATCGAGATGACAGTACATCTCCACCAATAGAACTTGACAATCAGCCACACGGGAAACTTGTTCATCTTGTTGCGGTTATACTGTTCTGGTTCTTGAAGCTTGATTCTAGGGCACGCGCGTCAGCGACTATATACTACAGCAGCATCTCAGAAATGCAGCGGGTAGCTCACCGGAGGTAAATCAGACTTAGCGGTGGAATCGCACCCAGTGCCAGACAGATTCTCCATGCCGCGCGCAGATGGTTTTCACCCGTCGCAAGCACCACAATCATAGGGACGAACGCGCTGATCACGAAGCCGAGATCGATCTGAAAATCCGTGGCCAAGATAAACCACCGGTTGCGATGGCCTTTCTTGAGTTCACCCGTTGACTCGGCCGCACCCACCGATCCGGCCGGGCTTTGCGATTGTCAGTAAAGCTTCCAGACAGACAGGTACAGAGTGTCTTACTATTCTCCCCCAATACCTAGACCGATCAGGAATCGGTAGGCCGAGAGAGCAGCGAAGAGACCTTGAGTGCTGCCGCCTGCTCCGTACGCCCCGGCGCAAAGGATTGAGAAGATGATAAGGACTATCCCTTGTTAGCACCAATATCTGGGAGAGTTTGGGTACGCGACGGGGTTGTACTGATGGTGGAAATAAGCAACGTGTTGCGCCGAGACCAATGGTCGCTCAGGATCCCAAAGAACAAATGTCCAACCACGGTGCCGGCAAAGGCGATACTGGGGACAGCACTCTTATACGACGACTTGCTGTACTGGTCACCATAGATGAGCTGAAGCATCGTCGACACTGAACCGATAACGCCGTTGAGGTACCCGTCGGAGAAGAGACCAGCTCCACAGGCGATCACGGGCCATGATCTTTCCCATCGCCCCTTAGGCACTTCGGCGAGAGGGGCTGCGTGGAAAGCGATGTCTCGTTCTTGGTCCGCATCGTATTCCTGAGAGGCAGGAAACTTCCTCTCCTGGACGTCTTTCTCGTGGTCCATGTCGTCAAGCTGGCGATTGGGACGGTTAGGAAGCCTGAAATTGAAGCCAACAAGGGCGCGTTGAGGGAGGAGCTGGAGTTGATGGTGTCTCCATCTCTCTCACTGCACCACCCTGTATTATATTGTTCTTTTGAGCTCGAGATCGCCCTTCAGGGTAGCGTCTCTCGCCAGCGCCAGTGCCACTCCCGTGCTGCAGAAATTTTTCCTGACGATAGCTTTGATGCAGCATTGAGTGGCTATGAACCGAAAGCGGAAGGAAATACTGCATGGTGGAGTGAAGCTGACCGACCAATGATGTCGAGCGAAAGGGGCACATTGTTCAATCGACTGCAATACCACGAACGGCCACTTCGCCTGCGGCAATCCACCTCCGGTCTGATAGGTCGAGCATCCACGATAAGAGGACTCTCACGTGGTGAAGACCGTGTCGGAACCGTTGAGATGCTCCTCAAATGCATACCACACGTGGCCTATACTATGGGCTAAGCGACCACGCCAGAGAGCTTTTCGCCTCTGCGGGAAGTCATGGAATCGTAGGGTAAGGCAAATCTTCTCATTCTAGAATCGCTCAGGCCTCGGATTCGGCCGACGACCGCTGACCATTCTGGGTCATGGCTATTGGACGTCGGTTCTCATGGGCTTTGAAGCCTTGTCTTCAGGACAGCGTGGGAAAAGTCCACCCGTTTTTCCAGAAGCTAGTCATAGTAGTTCTGGACTTTCATTCCTTTGAAGTTGAAAGAAGTCCCTTCGCGCTTCTCTATCACCTTCTTGTGATGAACATCCTTGACTCGCGCTCGGACATACTCGGTTCCTGTGGGAACTGGCTTGTTAGGGTCCTTGTCCTCGTCCGATAGAAGGCCGAGACGCTCGAGGAGGGGTGATGGGACGGTTCTCATGGGAGTCCTCGCTCCAGGGCGACTGAAGTAGAGCAAGCCTAGACGAGGGATGTCCAGTTGATCTTTTGGAGGAGTGACCACCCTGTGAACTGTTGACTTGATGAAACCTGTACATTCAGTCAGCCTTCCGGGTTTTCTTAATGGATGATCGAATATTACCGTTCGTGAGGAAAGACAACGTGTCGGCTGCGTTACAAGTGATACCCCCTTCAACAGGCTTCACCCACTTCCATTGCCCCTCAGGCGTCCGGATCTGTAATCCAGCGACATGCTGTGAGAATAGCAAGGTAAGGCTGCCGAAGTCTGTGTGCCCGCCCTTGGTATAGCCTTGGGCCTTGTCCCATTCCTCCTGAGTTCTGACATTGTAGATCATGTATCTCAGGTGATCATCGGACTCTCCCTCATAAGCATGTGCGTCCACAAAATAATTTTCCGGGAGCTCGAGAATAATGGCAATCAGTACGTATAACTTCCGGAGGACCTTCTCCCATAACTCCCTGTGGAATGCCGAAATCTCTTCCCAGTTTTCGCGGACAATCTGGTGTTTCGGCACATTCTCATAGATAGGAATAGGCTTTTGAATATTAAGCTGGACAAGATGAGCTTGTTTCATGTTGGCTGAAGTATCAAACGCACCATCTCAATGTTCTCTTTGACGCCAGTATCTCCAACCCACCGGGAGTTCTCTCTGTAGCCAAAGTATTCTCCTTCCGCAAAGTTGCATGGGAAGAAGCGCTTTTCTTCGATTGGTTGCTTGAAGAAAGTGTTACCAAAACTGAATTGGCGGAGTACCTTGCCGTCATCGATGCCCGAATTGACGACAGTCCAGAAGCCGACTCTAGTGACAGCATCGTAAAGCTGCTTAGCCAACTCTTGCTTGCCTCCTTCCTCGTCAAAACGGGATAGGTCGATGGTGGTGAGCGGAGCCCAATCAAGATCCTCTTTCGTATATTGTGGCCGACTCCAAGGCTTGATCAAGACTTGCTTGGCCGCCTGTGGTGCCGATTCGGTTTCAATAGCAGATGGCGCCATCTTCGGGGGGGTGTTGTACTTCTGGCACGTTTAGAGAAGTGTCTTGGTCCACGGAGCACGCCAGACGTTTCGGTCAGATGGCGCGGGCGATGGTGCTTAAAAGGTAGATGGACGATCATGCCTCCTGAGATGCGGGGTTGTAGTGAACGGAGTACTCCTTGTACACAATCTAATCAAGGTGATTGCGTGCTTTCATGGCAGGAATGCGTGCTACTGCACCAGCAGAGCCATTGACAACGCGTGCCGGGATATGCTCCCCAACATCATCTTGAACTTCTCCAAACATCTCCGCTTAGGCGAATTAATGATCCTCGTGAAGGCTACATTGCCTTGTTGCAAGCCGAGGTTCAATCCATCGAAAGCGCAGAGATGTGGTGTTAAGAGTCTAGATCATTGATTCGCTTGTAACGGAGAGGGGAAGTGTTGATCCCTTGAACCTGGTCATTGAAAGGGCGGTACCATGCGTGATGAGATGTCCAATGGTTCTTCTAGGACAGTTATGGAAACCCGTCCGCTTCAAGATGTGATATAGCATTGTGCGCTGTTGAACAGAATCGTTTTGACAAACTGGCACTTGACAATCAACAGTCGTGTTTGCATTGTTTGTGATGTTTGCCACCTTTTCACTGTTTGTAAATCTAGCCACGCAGCTGCCCACGCTAGTCCACACCGCACATCTATTTTGATCCTCATTCTCCTACTTTGTCCAGAGCATTGCTCCACCCCGAATATTATTGTTTTTCAATGGGTTCTCGCTGCCATCCTTGCCAACGGCCTGGCTCGTGTAACCCAATAACTCATTGAAACCGACCTTGAGGTAGAAATACTCTTTGCCTTCCGCAGCCACAACGCAAACGGGGAGGTCTCCTGCAGGATCCTTCTTCGCCTTTACCAGTCCATCCTCTACGAGCTCCCGACCGAATCCTTTGCCTTGGTGGTCGGGGTGAATAGCCAAAAGCTCTAATGACCAGTGTATCTGTCTATGGGGAGCACTGAAAAAGTCAAGGCAAAGGGGTCGTATTCGAGGCAAGAAGTTCCAGATGGTGAGGGGATCAGGATCGTTTTCGGTTGGTCGTGCTGCCGCTTTGTTGGGCCAAATGTATCGACGGATCCTGTAAAACGTTGAAACTGCAGGCATTATCATGAGACCTGGCATCGGAATGGTTAGAAGACAATGTTTGGTGAGTGGAAAAGACGTTGGTTTGACTCACGAGGATCCCACCGTCCCCATATCCCATGTACATGCTCCCAGCCTGTGCCCACCCGTTGCCACTGGGCGAAACCCGTGACCTTTTCGCTTCCAGCATGCTCCGGTCCCCCACTGGACAGCAATGCACTCCGCGCATCCTGATGCTGCCCATCGTCCACTTTACCATCCTCGTACGACACGACAAGGATTTGGCTGAAGTCGTACCACGCCACCGTCAAGTTTTCTCTGGCTGCCTGGACGAATGCTTCGGGGTGCTCCTTCATGTAAGGGAAGAGAAACTGGAACATGAGGTTGGAGCTGAATGCAGCAGCATATATCTCTGCCATGGCAGGTATGTCGGATATTGTGGCTGGTCGGATCGGCATGATGAGATGTCGAACACAGAAGTTGAACCTATTCTGAACCAAGAGAAACGGCCTTCACGATTAGCCCGTGAGAATCAGCAAACTCGAGACCGATAGGAGGTATCCTTGCGAGATACTTGGCCTGAGGCTCTGTGCCTTTTATGCCCACGACAAGAAGTGTGGACAGCCCAGACTGTGGTAATCCCTGAGAGAAAATACACCTTTGCACCTTTTGAACAGGCGGTCCGCACAGCCAGTTTCTATCCAGAAAACAACGCGCGGACAAGATGACGAGAACAGTGAAGTGTTTTTTCTTTGACTTCAACGCCCGCATTTGATTCCTCCCTTTCGACTATGTCTTTAAGTATCCATATAATCCTATTTTAGTGTTTCTTTGCCCCGTACACCGTTGCATTCGTACGTGTCCTTCCATTTACGTACAAGAAGCCCTGACTGAGTTGGACTTGCACTAGCCAGATCCATCTTAGATCTCAGATGAGCCCTTTACCAAATGCAGGAGCTGCTTTCTACCTCGTATCAAAAAGTGTCTGACAACGGTCAGAGATGACAGGAACAAATGTTTACCAATCAACGCGATATCTGGTGACTTTTTGATGGCGATCCATACACTTCTGTCGACAAGCCCTGGTTGGCCTTCACGCCTTGCATTTGCGAGCCTTTCGAGTTCGCTATCTCTAATCTTACAAGATACCCCCTTGGGAATTACTCTTGAAAGAAAAAAAACATACTAACTGGAGGTAAGGTATAGATTTGATTCCGGAAAAAGAGCGAATACCACCTTATCCTACTCTCCAGCGGAGCCTTTCTTCGATTGGTCCAACGTTCACTGAACTATTCTCGAGCGATATACCGTGGGTATCCAGTAATGGCACAGCCTGAACACCATCCAGAACCTCGACTTGTGGGGCCCTGAATAGCCTTGAGGGTGAACGGGATCGACCATAGCGACAGACCTTTTCGCAACTCCAATCTCTTCAGCACGCAATTCCATACAATTGTAGAAGGCCAAGTGTGTCCTTTGTCAATATTCCTAGCCCAAAAACATTGCTCTTACGCTCGTTGGGCTTGATTCTATCGTCAGCGAAAAGAGTCCCGCCTGCCCGGTCCATCTAGGTTCTGGCCGACGACAAAGAACTCACCGCTCGCCTCACGGACGTCTAGCTAGGACCCTTCGCATTCTTGGGATCTCCGGTTCCCAGCGTTATCGAATCTCGCCGCATGCTTGAGATGGCGAACGAACGGAGTAAGAAAACCAGGTAGTCAAAGAGGTCAAAGACTGTGCAGCTGACATTACTCTTCAAATCGTGACCCTCAGCTGTTGTGCTGTCGGACATGCTTGAGCGCCTCAAGGGCTTCCTCGACCTGTTCTACGGAAAATCAGCATCAAGGCCTTCTCGACACTCAAAGGTGAAAACAAAACTTACGAACCATGCCATTCAGTGCCTCAAACGCAATGGCATAATTTTGTAGCGCTCTCAACACCCGGCCCACTCCGGCATACAAATCATCGATTCCCTTGTCGGCGGCCGAGCTCCTTTGGTTGATGCACTGCATTTCGAGGCTTTTGTAGCACAGGGTGAGCAGCGTGTAGCAGCTCTGCATGGCGCAGCAGGCAAAGGAGGGCATGGTTCGCGGAGCCGGAGTTGAAGAGTCGGGTGACAGCATTGGTGAAGGAGGCAGAGGGAGTGGCAACTGCATAGGGTTAGGGTAGGGGAAGGACTCAAATGCCCTGCCAATGGCAAGGGCAGCTCTGAGACAAGTCTTTGCCGCAGACAGGTCTGTGATCGATACGCCTTTTGGGAGACCATCTATGTTGTCGCTGGATGCATCAGAAGCAGTCCCCTGAGGCGAGTGTGATCGGAGCCCGGGAAAGCCACCAGACTGAAATCCATTCGGCGAGGTATTTGAGAATGCAGACGGAAGCATGGCATGGCAGGAGCATCCGAGTGGACGCGGAGAAGAGACATCGGCTTGATCGAGATCGCAGTGGCGGCGAGTGAATATTGGAACGTCTTGAAAAGCGCGATATCGGTGGAGTTTGATCCTCGCACTGTTGAGTTTGATCACCGCTTGCAAACGCAGGGACTTGGCCAGGACCTGTTCTTCAGCATCTGTGGGCGACGGGGTCGACGTTTCGTTTGGCGGACAGGCATATCGCAGGAGGACTGAATCGAGACTGCTCTCAAGCATGGCTTTCCTCTGATCGAGCATGCTGTCCCCCAGCCCACCATCGAGGGCCTTCTTCAGCGCCACAGTGTATTGGGTACACTTCAGGATGCACTGCTGGGCTTCGATGAAAAACAACCAAGCATCAGGGTCCGCAGTGGACGTTGGTAAAGGAGTCTTGAACTGATGGAAATCAATCGAGATAATAGGAGGCTAGTTTAACCAGATCAGACAGTGGTTACCTTGAGTGTCGGTGATCAAACTTACCGTGCTGCTAACGATCGACGACTGCAGAACGACAATATACTGGATTACAGGTCAGCAGGCATTGTCCACACCAGACATGGATCATCCAACCACTTACTGTCATCCACCAGGCGCGTCGACGTGCCTCTGTGAATTGGTCCAAACAAAGATCAGAAATGTCGTGCAGGCAGAGCCTGACGGCGGCATCGTATGCTTGGCTGGCCCGATTCCTCATCTTTGCCAGATTCCCACGCTGGGCATATTCATAGATGCTCAGCAATACGTGTGCCAGGACACCTTCCAACTCCACTGGCACACAAGGGTGGAACTTTTCGCGCTCGATCAACGGTCGACGATGATCCAAGGCCTCCGAAGGGTTTATCGTGGATTCGAGCAGCTCAGTCTCAATCTCGATACTCTCCATGGTCATCTGGGAGAAAGAGTGAGCTCGCTGCCTCCGGAGGCATACAGACTCATCACTATCAGGGTACTCGTCCTCGGGGTGAGGGATCAGAACAAGAATCGCCATTAATGCCATGACCAAGGGCGACGCCGGCTCGAAGAAATTGGATTCACTCGCTGGGTCGTCAACCTGCAGTGTCGTCACTGGCGGTGGCAGGATCGGGAAGTACGGATGAATGAAGATGTAATAGGCATTGAGGATCGCCTCGTTCTCTTGGTAGTTCCGAGTGATTGGCGTGTATATTTTGTCCTGTGGATCGTCCTCCTCCATGGCATCGATTGAGTCACTGCCCTCAGAAGCGGGCATGAAGATATTGTCAAAGATCTGGTCGCTGTCATCCTCGTCGCCGCCGACATCAATCAACCCAGCGCCGGGAGCGATCATGGTGGCGATGAGGTCGTTGTGGATCTCTTCCGACGACAAGATCAACGCATCCCAATCGATGTTGATATCCGGGACAACCGCTTCGGTCTGGGATTGAGATGCTGTTGTAGTGGTTGCTGCGGCTTCATCCGCCCGCCGTTGCCTTTCCACGGCCATGATGGCCTTTTTCCGCGACACGCGAGGACCGCCACGATTGCTTTTGACATAGCGGCATTCTTTGCCCCTGATCAGACACTATAACATTATCAGGCAAAGAGGCTCCATGAACATCAAACAAGGTGGTAAGTCAAAAGCACCAAAACCCACCCAAACACACCACACCACACCACGACAGAATACATACATTGTTACAGGGAGCTTTGGCGTCACATCGTGTTCGAGACGCACGGCTTTTTGAAACCGGGGAAGGTTATAAGACGAGTTCCCAAACGTAGAATGGCTTTTCGGTTCCAGGCAGGGTCTTACCACGATGTGCAGGCCACCTTGACTGGTGGCAGGATGCTCTTCCGCCGCCGGCTCTGGCCCTGACTCTGACTCTGACTCTGACTCGACGCCATTGGCCCATTCTCCACGACGGTCGAAGTAGACATGAGGATTTTGCAAGGGAACCTCGAGGTTCTAACTAAAGTCTGCGGACTTGATACTTGGGTGGCCGGGGTTTCGAGGTGGTGGTGTGGTCCCGTTCCTGGACTTCCGAAAGACCCACGGCTGTCGAAATAGAAATTGGGAAAAGCGGAAAACAAGAAAGATTGGGGCGCGACAAAGACGGAGCGGAGATAGAAAAGAGGAAAAATTAGAGCTCGAAGTGAAATGCGTATATATCAATCAAACCAGCAGTTCAAAGATACCGAACATCGACTTCTGGGGCACCGCCGCTGGGGGGAGGGGGAAATCTAGAACTCGTAGTCCGCGTGGTTGCGCAGGTTTATAGTGAGCATTCCTTCGTACGAGGTAACCCGTACTTGTAGAGAGATAAGCAAAAGTTGCTTATCACCCAATGAAAGCCCCCGAAAGCCCCTGGAATATCCAGTGCACTAGACCCTAAATTGCTTGTGGACAGGGGGCCCGGGGGTTCGTGCACCGTTTCTGGGAGTGGTCCATCTATGCTCCATCTATCAGGGTATACGCGACTATGTATGTACAAAGTACTCGGTACCGAGTGATAATAATCTGGCAACTGGTCACGCCACATGACAGGAGACGGAACGAGGCTCTGAATATTTTGGGCGCGCCCTTACAACTCCCCCCCCCCCCCCCCCTCTACCCCCCGGATTACTCGGTATGTATAGGTAAGGGGTAGAGGGCGGCTTAATTCAGTCAGTAAAGACTACATTGTCCCCCGGCTTTCTGTTGACGGTTAGCGTGAAGATGTCTGGTCTGGCATAGCTCCCGACTGGATCAAAGTCCATTCGAGCCTGGAGCAGATCGTCCCGGTTCAGTTGTGCATAGACGATCTCTTCGCGGTCCCAGACCGGTTCCGTGACAAACGTCCCCAGGGGCCCGACGATGCACGAGCCGCCGTGGCTGAGCACGGCGTCTGGGGTCCAAGGAGACCCGTCGGCCTGTCTGTCGTGGTGTCCCGGCGAGAAAGGTGGATAGTCAGACGGAAAATCGGCCACCTTGCAGAACTGGTTGCACGAGATCACGAAACAGCGTCCCTCTTTGGCGATGTGCTGCATCGACGCCACCCACGAGGGCAGGTCGTCGGCGTTCGGGGCGATGTAGATCTCGATGCCCTGTTGGTACAGAGACAGTCTCGCCGCGGGCATATAGTTCTCCCAGCAGATGAGGCCGCCGACGCGGCCAATTTCCGTGTCCACCACCTGGAGTCCATCGCCTGCTCCTCTCCCCCACACGAGCCGTTCCGCCGCCTGCGAGAAAGACAAATCTATCAGTTGCTGACTATACAAGATCCTCACCACCCTGTGGACCTGGGGGAATTTGGAAGATACATACCGTTGGGATGAGCTTTCGGTGAGAGGACAGCACGTCACCCGTTCTCGAGAGGAGGATTGATGTGCAATACAAGGTCCCTCTTTCTTTCTCGATGATCCCTACCGACAGAAACACGTTGTAGTCTCTTGCAATGCTCCGTAGTTCCTCAAATTCTGGTGACGGAATCGCCACGGCCGACTGGTAGTATTTGGCGAACCATTGGCGACCTCGAGGCTCTCGTGCTCCTATTGTCGCATCGAAGGCGTAACGCCACGGGTATGCGCTGAGGAACCCCTCGGGGAAGACGACGAGATCGGCGGATTCCTGCGCCGCCGCCTTTGTGAAGTGTCTGACTTTTTGTATTGAGGCAGGGAGATCGAAGGCGACGGGAGCCGCTTGAACTGCAGCGACCTTGACACTTGCTGCTACTGTCGACATTGTTGTATCGAAACGAGAATGCAAGCTGCTGCAGCAAGGGCTTCTTTGGCCAGAAACATCATGATCCTTTTGTGCTTCACAGGTCGACGGCTGCATCTGACTGGTGGCCAAAACCACCAACGCCGATTTCAGACGTTCTGCCTATTCCGGAAGACTCGAGAGTTCGAACACCGTATTGGTTTTTGGTGTATTTTCCCCGATTCCTCGAAGCAGTTTCCGGCCAATAGTCGCTGACCCACTTTCCGGAGAGAGTGGAAGAAGCATTTCCCCCCCCCCAAGCAAAGCCCGAAAAGCAAACACCGAAACATACATGTCCTCGCCTCAGCCTTATTGGCTGGCTGTGTTACGAGAGGCGTTTCAGGGCCGAGTGGAGCCGGAGACTGGACGAGCACTCTGTTCTATTGATATTGATATTGATATAGTACAGAATCAATACTTGGTTAAAACCAGCGCAAGACCAGTTTGGGAAAGAAGGACTTTGACGAGACCAGACTTCGACCTAGCTATCTCAACTCTGTACGTGGCCAAAATGAGAGACATGATGCATGTTGGTATGTTGCTCCTACGATACAAAGGGGCTTCCATGGTCATTCACTGATCCCCAAGCAGAACTCAATGTCCAGCCAGAATGCAATTACTACACGAACCTGGTGCGGAACTTGAAAACCGCAATCGTCCCGACGTTTACTCTGGAATCGGGTCAACAACTCCATCGAGTCCCTGTCGCCTACAGCGCCTGGGGCACCTTGAACGAGGAGGGTGACAATGTCCTCCTCATCTGTCACGCTCTCACTGGAAGCAGCGACGTCGAGGACTGGTGGAAACCTTTGATAGGTCGAGGAAAAGCCGTCGATACAAGTCGGTTCTTTGTCATTTGCTTCAACTCACTCGGGTCGCCGTACGGCTCTGCATCACCGCTCAGCACAGACCCGATGACCGGCAAGCCTTATGGTCCGACCTTTCCAGACACGACTTTCAGAGACGATGTGCGGATACAAAAGATGGTTCTTGACGCGTTGGGAGTTAGACAGGTTGCGTCCGTCATCGGTGGCTCGATGGGGGGCATGATTGCCCTTGAGTGGCCTTTGTGCACCCCTCCAGGCTATGTGAGGACGGTCATCCCCATATCGACTTCAGCGTATCAGACCGCGTGGGGAATCTCATGGAACACGTCGCAAATCCGATGTATTCAAGCCGACGCACAGTTTCGCGGGGGTTACTATGCTCCTCATCCTCAAGGCCAGCCCGTGCAAGGTTTGGGCGCCGCCAGAATGATCGGGATGCTCACCTACCGATCATACACTTCCTTTGAGGCCCGTTTCGGTCGACGCAAGTCCGGGCCAAAACGGCCGTCGCAGTCCTTCTCGAGACCGATGACCTCGATCCCCTCCCCGCCAGTCCCGGTGGCTGGAGACGACACCCCCGAGACAACAGATTTGAAGACAGAGGCGCAGAACTTCGGCCCGGCCACGATATATTCGGCCCAAAGCTACATGCAGTACCAGGCCGACAAGTTTCTCAAGCGCTTCGACGCGAATTGCTACATCCACCTTTTGCGAAAGATGGACTCTCACGACATCACAAGAGGGAGGACCACCACATCAATACCATCAGCGTCGGAAGAACACCCCAGCACGAAGAGCGTCGCCGCCGTTCTGGCCACATGTCCGGCTCCCGCGCTCGTCGTGAGCATAGACTCAGACCTGCTCTTCCCGTCCGAGCAGCAGACACTACTCGCAAATTCTCTGCCTCGAGCGACGCTGATGAAGCTGAACTCGTCCGACGGCCACGACGGGTTTCTGCTGGAAATGTCGGCCATGCAAGAATCCATCAGTGCCTTCCTCCGGGAACACTCTCCCCACGTCTTCACAGCTCCTGTCTCTGATAGCGGCGAAGAGGATAACGCAGACGTTGTAACGAATAGTGTGTTTGGCGAGCTGGAAGCTGACTTTTGAACGGATTTATCTACAAAAGCAAAAAAGGGATTTCTGCCAAGGTGTTTTGATAGATCTATTCTCTTGACGATTGTGTCTGTGTTTCCATAATGACGAAAATGATGCTTTAGTTTTATGTGTACCGAGTATAGCTCATTCAGGTATTATGCCAATATCATTTCAATAGATGATCTCATAAGAATCATTCAATGTATTCAGTGACTACCAATTCTGCCCGACTTGGCCCCTCGAAATTCGCTACTTAGGTAGCCATAGCATTGCCACGAATCCGGAATGCCATTGGTCCAATTCGGCCCAGTCTCCCGGGCGTTTGAGGGATGGTCGTCTATGTCGCCACTCATCACGAGACTTGTCCGGTCGCGAAATAGAAAGTCAATCACCGTCGGTGTGTCCTCCCTTATCTTTCTCGTCAGGGCCGCCCATCCCGCCGTCAGGTCGACGTTCGGCGACTGCTGGGCTTCCCAGGACTTTGTCTTGGTGGTCTGAGGCAAGCAAACATTCTCCGCTGTGTATGGGGCAGATGATCTAGTGATGCCTTTTGGGAGAGATGACTATATTTGTATAATAGTGTCCGGCCGGTTATAGACATGTCGTAAGTCGCATTTGCATTACCATCATCCTTTCTTGATATATTGATTCATTACTGTCCTCTACCTCTTCAAGAAGTGAAAAAAGCAAAGCACAACAAAGGCAACAGCGGACAGTGCACAGTAAACAAAAATGATTGCACGAACAGAGGATTATCGACCGTGGCTCATCCAAAAATATGGCGGCACCAGCGTGGGCAAGCTGCTGAGCACCATCACAGAATCCATCGTGCCGCAATACCTGAACGACTACAACGTCGCCGTGGTTTGCTCCGCGCGGTCCAGTGCAAGCAAATCGGTCGGCACGACGAATCTCCTCCTGAGGGCGTTGGCTTGCGCCGTGTCGTCGGAGGAGGACGCACTCACGGTCGACTTTGACGAAGTGGTCGACCTCATCCAAAATGAACATCTTTCGGTCGCAGACTCTCTGCCCAGCGAGGCTGTTCTCCAACCCTCCTCCTCGGAGATCATTCAGCAATTACGACAGAGCATCGTCGCGGAATGTGAAGCCCTACGGAGATTCTTAGGGGCTACGCGCGTCATTGGCGAAGCGTCTGACAGAACGCAAGATCGCGTGCTCGGGGTTGGTGAGAAGCTGTCTTGTCTGGTGGTCGCTGCCGCGTTGTCACTCAACGGGGTCGAAGCAGAGATGGTGAACCTAGAAAACATTGTGCAAGCTGCCGACAAGCGCTCGCCCCGGGAACAGCAAGCGGCCTACAAGCAAAACCCCATCTCATTCCTCCAGGGGCTACGAGATGCCGTCAGAGATGCAATACTCCAATGCTCCACGCAAGGCAAAGTCCCCGTTGTCACTGGGTTTTTCGGCTCAATGCCTCACTCACTACTACACACCGTCGGCCGTGGCTATTCAGACCTGTGCGCCGCGCTGTGTGCCGTCTCACTAGGGGCCGAGGAGCTCCAGATATGGAAAGAGGTTGCTGGCATCTTCACGGCGGATCCTACCAAAGTGTCAACGGCCAGAGTGCTGCCCATGATCACGCTGGAGGAGGCCGTCGAGCTGACATACTACGGCAGCGAGGTGATTCACCCTCTGACCATGTCCCTTCTGAACAAGGAGGATATCAACCTGCGGCTGAAGAACGTGAAGGATCCTGCCGGCGCTGGCACCGTGGTCTACTCAACGACGCCTAGTCCGAGCCCAACGCAGACGCCTGGTTCAACGGGAATGGAGATGAGCCGGTCCCTGTTCATGACGTCGCATGGGTACTACGGCAAAGAACAAGCCAAGCGAGTCCCGACGGCCATCACGACCAAAGACTCCATCGCCCTCGTCAACATCACTTCGAACGGCAAGCTGCCTGCCCAAGCATTCCTCGGCCAAGTCATCAGCATCCTCGGCCAGCACCAGCTCTCCGTCGACCTAGCCAGCAGCAGCCGGCAATCGCTCAGCCTGGCCGTGTCGGCGTACGGCTCGACGAACCTCTCGGACGCAATCGACGAGGCCCTTTCCGAGCTCGAAGAGTTCGGCTCGACGACAATCGTGCCGAAAATGTCCATCATCTCGGTCGTCGGCCACAAGATGAAGAACATGGTCGGCATCGCGGCCGAGATCTTCTCGGCCCTGGCCAGCGCGCGCATCAACATCCGTCTGATCTCGCAGGGCGCGAGCGAGATCAACATCTCGTTTGTGGTCAGGACCCAGGACGCCCTGTTGGCCATGGAGGTCATCCACTCCAAGGTCATGCAGATTCCGGGACACGCCGAGCGCCAGGTTTCGCTCATAACAGGTGAGGAATTCTCAAGTCACTTACCCCACCATACCGGTTCTCATCCATACTGATTTTGTGATTGACTAGGTCCGTGGCTCTATTGAAAGAGTATACCAGCGCTCTACTCGACAGGTGTGGTGTTTGGGAGTCAGCGGTGGTATTTACCGTCTACTAGATGTCTGTATGGAGATACCTTTTGGCGCTGCTACGTAGACGATAGAAAATATGTATGTACAGCATTATGAATATTAGATGTATATCAAGCCATCAAGATTTTATGTGGCAACCTCTGCCTCTACCTCTGCCGTTGATGACAAACAACCACCTCAATAATCCGTAGCTAGCCCTGTTACTCTATTTCTCATGGACTCGAACATGCCAGTCATTTTCTTCTGGGTGGTCGATATCTAGAGAGTGTTCCACTTAATACACCAACCACCGTCAACCTCTGTCAGCTGTGTCTATGGTTCAAAACCACCTCTGAGCACTCAGCCTAGGCCTATCACCTGGTATTCGGCGCAAAAGTCCATCTGATCGTCATCTTCGATCTCACCAGACGTCAGAATCAGGCAACTTTACCAAAAGTACAAAATACAGATGTACAGATGTCCAGATGTCCACGTCGTAGTCGAGAAAGATAACACCGGTTAGTGCCAGTGGTGTTACTACTGGTGGTGCTGGTGGCGCTTGTGTGTGTGTGTGTGTGTGCCGGTGTTTGCTTTTTTGATAAGCGGCGGCGTTTGGACCACTTCTATAAGGGGGCGGGCCAATCAGGAACGGACGATCCGGGTATCTCCGGCTTTTGGAAAAAAAGGGGCTAACCTAGGTAAGCGAGTAGGGGAGACAAAGGAGATACAAACCAAGAAAAGCTATCATTGCCTATTCTTTGCAAGGGCTGTGTTCAACCTCCTAATCAGGAAGAAAACAAACACCTTGGTTTTCGGGTCCATATCATGCGCGGACGTGTATCATGTCTGATGATATCTCGCATGTCATATCCCACATCACGCATCCCATCCCGCATCCCGCCCCGCCTCCCTTACCCCTCCATTCGCCGGTCTCTGTCGAGATAAGCAACGTCTTGCAAGGCAGTTGCTATCTTTACGGTGCATAGCAATAGCAAACGCCGCACGATGCAGCAAGGTATACCACTTGGGACGTGCATTGGCCGCCTCGGGGAGAGAGGCGTATGTTGGATAAAGAGGGCAGTATATCAAGATGGACAGACACCCTGCTTGGAGATTCTCATATATGATCCATCCTCATCCTCCTTCTTGTAATATCAGTCAATCCATAGATCTATCAATCCATTCCACAATTCGTCACAGGTCTTCTTTCTCGTCTTACCACAAGAGCTTCTTCCCCTTGATTCTCTCGACTTACGAACCTTACGAGACTTCACGAGACAGAACAGAACCCAAAAAATGGTTTCCGGACACTTGGGCGAAGTGAGCAAAGCTCCCGAGTACGAGACGGTCGCGCTGCACGGCGGCCAGGAACCCGACCCGATCAATGGCTCGCGGGCGGTGCCGCTGTATCAGACATGCGCGTACAACTTCACCGACGCGTCGGACGGGGCCAGCAAGTTCGCCTGGTCCAAGGACGGCTACGTGTACACTAGGATGGGCAACCCGACCAACACCGTCTTCGAGACGCGCATGGCCATGCTCGAGGGTGGCGTCGGCGCCGTCGCCACGGCCAGCGGCCACGCCGCCCAGTTCATGGCCATCACCTCCGTGTGCGAGCCCGGCCACAACTACATCAGCACCATGAACCTGTACGGCGGCACGCACAACCAGTTCCGCGTGTACATGAAGAAATTCAACATCATTTGCAAGTTCGTGCAGGGCAACGACCCGCAGGACGTCAAGAACCTCATCGACGACAAGACCCGCGCCGTCTACATCGAGACCATCGGCAACCCGCAGTTCAACGTCCCCGACATCAAGGCCATCGCCGACGTGTGCCACGAGGCCGGCATCCCGCTGATCGTCGACAACACCTTCGGCATGGGCGGCTACCTCGCGCAGCCAATCAAACAGGGCGCAGATATCGTCACAGCCTCGTGCACCAAGTGGATCGGCGGCCACGGCACGTCGATGGGCGGCATCGTCATTGACGGCGGCCACTTTGACTGGTCGGCCTCGGGCAAGTTCCCTGGCTTCACCGAACCGTCCGAGGGATACCACGGCATGCGCTTCTGGGAGACGTACGGCTACAAGGCCCTGGCGGCCAAGCTGCGCATGGACGCCATGAGAGACCTGGGCCCGTGCATGTCGCCCTTCAACGCCTGGCTCTTCCTGCAGGGCTTGGAATCCCTCCCCGTGCGCGCCGACAGACACGTGTCCAACACGCTCGCCTTCGCCCAGTGGCTCGAGAAGCACCCGTGCGTCGCGTGGGTTAACTACCCAGGCCTGCCCTCCCACCCGGACTACGAGCTCGCGCAGCGGGTGCTGCCCAAGGGAGCCGGCGCCGTCCTTACCTTCGGCGTCGCGGGCAACATCGACGAGGTCGAAGCCGTGGTCAACAACCTCAAACTGTGCTCGCATCTGGCCAACGTCGGCGACGCAAAGACGCTGATCATCCACCCCTGGCGGACGACCCACCAGCAGATCCCCGACCAGGAAAAGATCAAGGGAGGCGTCACCCCCGACATGATCCGGATCAGTCTCGGGTTGGAGCACATCAAAGACATCATCCACGACTTTGAGCAGGCTTTCAAGGCCGCCGGCCTCAAGGGGGCCAAGGATTGGGTCCCGACATGGAAAAAGGACATGGAAGGCGAGGAGTGGTCCAAGGGCACGTTATACGCGCCGAATCCCAACGGCGTCAAGAAGGAAGTCGTCACCAGCACGTAAGACACGGAATGATTCCTCTGCTCTACTCGCACTAGCTCGCCCGTCGAGACGGAGGAGACCCCTGACATCCACCCTAGCCAGTCAATTGACTGCTCCGAGATATGTTTCCTGGCTTGTTTATCGAGGAAGACGGAGGTGTTTCATGTTCCCCTATGAAGAGGCGTTCGGATGAATATGGTGAAAATTCTGAAGGATTCTTTTTTGTATCAACCCCCGGCGGTTCGGTGGCGCTATGCTCAGTGCTCTGTGGTCAGTGTTCAGCGCTCACCCATATCAGTCAGTGCCGATAAACCCCTAGATGTGTTCAGTGTTTACTCTGAAAAACGAAAATAATTTTTTTCTTAGAAATCAAGATAATTTTCCAATCTTTTTAAACAAAAGATTCCTTAGTATCAAGAATAAGTAGAGTCGATCCTTTTGCAGCACGGGGATGCAGGAATGTGCGGCCAGGGAATCCGCCCACAACAGCAGTAGGGGTGACGCTGGCTTGCAGTCCTCAAGTTTAAGGGGTTCACCCATAGACCACGACAGGTTGAAAAGCGGTGCAGGGTTGGGTTGAAACCCGTGGAGTGTTGAAACGTATTGCTGATGATAATGATGGCCGTCCTTTGGCAAACACCCATGTGGGAAGTAACCCACGGAGTGCATGTCACCAGCCACTCCTACCATCACCTGTGGCGCGTGCAATCGTGTTGAGGATAACGTCAGGATTTCTGGACGCGCAGATGCAGACTGCACATGGCGGACATTAGATTTTCAAGTCTTGGCATTTTTGCAGCAATTGCCAACTACATTCTCCGCATTTCAAGAAAAAGTTGTTTGGCTTCACTCGAGTTTGCGCCGCCAGAGTTCCCGCAATGGTCAAGTCATATCTGTAAGTCAAGACAAAATCCAGCGACCAGACGGAGCAGTACTGACCTATTTAGCAAATTCGAGCACAGCAAGACCTTCGGCCAGATCTGTACAGCCTCCGCGAACGTTGTCTGGGACCCAACCTCTGAGCATGAGGGTAGAGGGGGTGCCGGTCGTGCCTATGTAGGTGCCAACGAGGCAGTTCTGGTATGGGATCTCAAGACGTCAGAAAAAGTTGGAGTATGGAACATCGAGGACAATAATGCTGTTGTCACCGTCATCTGCCGGAGTCAGGTCGACCCTGATGTGTTTGCAGTGGGCTACGACGATGGCAAGATTCGAATATGGGACTCGAGAACAGCAACGGTGATCATCACTTTCAACGGACACCGGAGAGCGATAACACAACTCAACTTTGATCACTCTGGAGTTCGTCTAGCCAGCGGATCAAAGGACACCGACGTTATCCTCTGGGATTTGGTCGCCGAGGTGGGGTTGTATCGTCTTCGTGGCCACAAGGATCAAATTACTTCCCTTAATTTCCTTACTGCTGTCGATGCCCAAGACGCCCTCGACAATGACTCAACATCTCATGATTTCCTCCTCTCTACCAGCAAAGACGCCCTGATTAAAGTGTGGGACTTGTCTACCCAGCACTGTATCGAGACGCATGTCACACAAACGAATGGAGAATGTTGGGCTCTCGGGCTGATGATTGGCGACAGCGGTTGCATTACAGCGGGAAACGACGGCGAGTTGAAAGTGTGGTCGATCAACGACGCTGTCTTAAAACAGAAAACGGGAATGAACATACCAGAAGGACAAAATGTCCTGCGGGAACAAGGGACGCTCTATCGCCACGGCCGCGATCGGCCATTAGGTATCACATTCCACCCGAAACGCGACTTGATTGCCGTACACGGCTCCGACAAAGCTGTAGAGATATTCCGGATTCGCTCAGAGACAGAAGTCAGAAAATCCCTGGCGCGAAAGCGAAAACGGAGAAAAGAGAAGGCGGGGACAACCGATGCCGATTCGGGGGTTGACGTCGGTGACGATGTCGAAGACTCGACTGACATGTCCCACGCAACAGCTGCGGACATATTTGTGCCTCATGTTCTTATACGTACGGGAGGCAAAGTCAGATCGATGGACTGGGCAGGGGGAAAGTCTGGCAAGTCGATCCGGGTCCTGGTGGCCACTTCAAACAACCAACTCGAGCTCTTCGACGTCGCGGCTTCAGACAAGAAGAAATCATCTGAAGCTCCAGAGTACAACCGCGCTGTCACCGTCGATATGCCCGGCCATCGTACAGACATTCGCTGCGTTGCGCTTAGCTCAGACGACAGAATGCTAGCGACAGCCTCTCACGGCAGCTTGAAGATATGGAACACACGGACACAGACTTGTTTGCGAACCCTAGACTGCGGTCACGCTCTTTGCGTGGCATTTCTGCCAGGTGATAAGATCGTCGTGGTGGGGACACGAGAGGGTACACTTGAAGTGTTTGATATTGCCGCATCAACACTGTTGGACACCATTAACGCGCACGAGCGAGACATCTGGTCTCTTCAGGTCAGCCCGGACGGCAAATCCCTTCTCACTGGCTCTGCCGACAAAAGTGCCAAATTCTGGCAGTTTCAAGTCATCCAGGAAGAAGTTCTGGGGACAACGCGGAAAAGTGCAAAGCTCACTCTTGCCCATACCCGGACCCTTCAGATCAGCGACGACATTCTAAGCGTCTGTTTCTCTCCCGACGAGCGACTCCTCGCCATCAGCACGCTGGACAATACTGTCAAGGTCTTCTTCGTGGACACGCTCAAGCTCTTCCTTACCTTATACGGCCACAAGCTCCCTGTTCTAGCAATGGACATTAGTCACGATAGCAAACTCATCGTTACCTCGAGCGCTGACAAGAACGTCCGGGTGTGGGGCCTCGACTTTGGAGATTGTCACAAGGCCTTTTTTGCCCACCAGGATAGTATCCTCGCCGTCAAATTTGTTCCGAATAACGACGAGGGGAACGGCCATCACTTCTTCTCTGCCAGCAAAGATAAAGTGATCAAATATTATGATGCCGACAAATTTGAGCAGATCCAAAAGCTGGAGGGTCACCAGGGCGAGATTTGGGCCATGGCAGTGGCCCACTCTGGGGAGTTTGTTGTGACGGCGAGTCACGATAAGAGCATCCGCATGTGGCATCAGACGGATGAGCAGATTTTCTTGGAGGAAGAGAGAGAAAAAGAACTGGAGGATTTGTATGAGAATACTCTTTTGACATCCCTGGAGAATGACGCAAATGAGATCGACGGTGAGGGCAACACGGACGGTCTGGAAGCAGGCCCGGCCGGCAAGCAAACCGCCCAGACGTTGATGGCTGGGGAGAAAATAGCGGAAGCACTGGAAGTCGGTATGGAAGATCTCGAAACAATGCGAATCTACGATGAAGCAAAAAGAACGAATCCGAAAGCCGCACCTCCACAGCGGAATCCGATATTCCTTGCCAACAACAACATATCCGCATCAAGCTATGTGCTCAGCACTTTTCAAAAGATACCCTCGGCGTCTCTCCAAGATGCGCTGCTCGTCCTCTCGTTCTCTCAGATTCCCGCGCTCTTCACATTCCTGGCTCTCTGGGCTGAAGACGGCCGGGCCATCCCCTTGGCTTGTCGGATATTGCTGTTTATGCTAAAGACGCACCAAAAGCAGATTGTGAGCTCAAGAGCCATGAAGGGCATGTTGGAGGAGGTGAGGAGCAAGTTTCGAGGGACGCTGACAAGGCAGAAGGGAGAGCTGGGGTTCAATCTTGCGGGATTGAGGGTATTGGGGAGGAGGGTGAGAGAAGTAGCTGGGGAAACTGAATATGTCGACGAAGAAACATGGCAAGAGAATGATGGCGCCGCTCTGGGCATGATCAGAGGGAAAAAGAGGGAGTTTGTGAACATTGCCTAGGGATGAGAGGACAACTGAAGGTTCAAGATTCGTTGTCACGGACACACCAGGTCACACTCTACCGTGGGAGATCAGAAAGCTCACGTTGAAACGGGAAGACTAATAGGACAATTCACGCAAACGATGCCCATGCCTCGCTCCTACAGTTGATCATCGCCATGCGTGAACGAACCTACGAATGGACAGACATTCAGAACGCCTGAGCTTGTGCTCGAGAGTCCCGTTGAGCCCGTCTGAGAGATACAAGCTCGCTGCTGCGATGGCAACCGGGAACATTCGCTTTCTCCTGGACTCTCCTGGACTCCTGGAGATCAATATTGACGGAAATTGGGAGCCCGAGATGTCCGTTGACGTGAAGCTTGAGTGCGCGATCTGAGTTCCCGTCGAAAGCATACTCGGGCTTCTCCTGTCGGTCAACTGGCGACGGGTTGCAACAACAAGTCCAGAGCAACGGGGGTGAGCAAAGTCTAGGACCTTCTGCCACGCGCAAGACGCGCTGTTGTGTGTCAATCTTCGCGCTGTGGCAAATTAACAACTGCTCTAGAAGGTGGAGTTTCTGGGTGTTGATGTTGTTGATCCCCCTCGAGACGCCGAGTTGGGCAGTCTAGCTGAGACCGAGAAAGAGCTGTGTCCAGGTAGAGAAACTCAAGGTTGGTTGCCGAGGACGAGATCCAGAACTTTGGCGCAGCCGTGGTGGCCGCGCTCGCCACCCATTCAGCGGAAAGGGTAGAACTCTCGCGGCCGATGGCAATAGAGGATTTGCTAAAGGGTGGTGAGAAGCAATGCAGCTTCACGCTGAACGCGTCAGGGGAAAGGAACGGATGGGTCTATACTGGTCGCAGGCCAGTTTGGTGCCCGCACGTTGTTGGCGCCCTTCTTCGCCGGGAACCAGGACCACGGGTATGTAGCAGAGAGAAACTCCCATATCGGATCAAAAGAGTGTAAGTAGGTAATAGGAGAAGGGGGATAGAGAGGCCAAAGACGGCAATGTTCTTCTTGACATGCAGCGATATAGACGGAAATGGAAATAGATGTTCATTGCCAAAACTCAACAACAGACCCAAATGAGAAGAATCAGGGGATGGAGAGAAAACTATCTTCCCATTGTGTGCTGCGGGATGTTTCAGTTGACCAGAGTTTGCGTTGTTCGGTCTTTGTTCCGCGAATCTTGCCTCCTCTCAATAACGGACAACTTTGGGACAAGTCTTGTCGCCCTGGATGCTGCAGCAGCAGCTGAACTCTGATTCCTTTTACAATGGAGGTGATGGAGACCTTGGACCACCATCAGCAGTACAACCACCACACCACCACCACCACCACCACCAGAACCAACCCCCCCTGCTACACCCTCAGCGCTTCCCCGTCGCTTGACCCTCGTGTTCGCCGCCCCCTCCATCAAAGTCCGGCTACCGCATCCGAAGTCTACCCAGGTACTCCGGCCTCATTCAGACTTTACAGACCGCATCTTACCCCTCGCCGAAGAACTTGTAGCTACTCAACGCGGGACTCGACAAACCCCTCCTGTTGACTGGGAATTCAGGGGAAACCGTCCTGATCGTCGCACCGACTCAGAGCCTCTTTCAACCCCACCGACCAATTTCGCATCACAGCCTTCATGTTCAATACGATCAAGACGAGCTGAACAGAGGATACAGTGTATACCCCGCGAGATGGCGTTCTAGGACAATTGCCACTCCACAAGGGAATTAGTGTGGGCAGTATGAGCTGAAAATGAGCCGGGGCACTCAGCATCCCACCCGGGTTGTTGTCATAACAGAATCAAAGGCGGGGAGGGGTCATCACACAACAAGGGGGGTTTACCTTTGATACTATGAGAGGTGCTCGTACTTGCGACTGGATCTGACGGGGTGGGCTATTCTGGCGGAGTCAATGATCTTCCCAGACCAAAGTTGGCACAAGCCTGGTGACGCTCGTGAGGAAGTTTTGGCCACTGTCCCTTTGGGGATGTTCTAATGAATGTGGCGTTCGTCTCGAGTCGCCGCTAGTCGTCTCAGCCTGCTGGAGGTTCCCACTGTCCAAGGTCGCTGGATTCCGCGCGCCAGATTCCGGACGCGATCGCGATCCCTGTCTCTCATCTGTCATTGGGTCCTTGCCTCGCCAACGCTATCGGCAGTCAGGCTGTTCCTCCAATCGACTGTCAGGCCTCGCAAGGGCCACAACGGTCAAAACGCTCCGGCTGGAAGCCGTGGCTCTCACAATTTTAGTTGGTCAAATGTTTGACGTGAAGACCAAACCTCGGACCAGTCAGAGGACACGGCTCTCTGAGGTCTCGATCACAACCTGACATCCCACTATACTTGTTGCAGCTGCTTCCTCGAGCAGTTCAGCAAACGGTGCTTTGACGATATACGCTTGTTGACCTGACCGTGGGTAAACCCGCCATCGTCGTCACCGGTCAGGGGTGTTCCGGTCCATTTCCACTGGCGAGAGGATCCAACGACACCGGATTAACTCGACGCGCAAAGAAAATCAAGTACCCATGTCTCGACATTGCTTAACCCTCTTTCCCCCTCCACGGGCCCACTTTCAGCTTGTTGTTGTGGGACAAATACAATGCTCGGGACTTGCCGCTGGTCCAGATTGGAGCGACATGGTCTGATCAACAGGTTTACCCCCTCAATGTTTGGATGCAGATGAGGGCAGGTTTCTACGGGATACTCATCTCAATGCTGCTGAAACCTTGAAGAGATCGACGAAAGTGTCGAGAGAGTTTCCGCGCGTTATGCATGCAATAGAACTGAAGCGTGAACTTTGCAACCCTCCACCCTGCCGTGTTGGGAGGGTGAATTTGTCAAGACGGCCCTACCTTCTTGCTTGTCCTGGTAAGGCCTGGCTCAATGGACCTGGGTGCACCCATGTCTTCAGATCGATCGGGTGGAGACTTTGGGCGTTTTGGGTCGACTTTAAGCGGGCTCTTACGCTGCCTTTTCCTCTCCTGCCCTTCGACATGCCCCATCGGACCTTGGACAAGGCGAAGAAGATGGATCCCTACGACCAAAAGGGCTAGCGCTTCCCTGCGATCGCGGCGTTGAGCTGGCGCTGAAGGGCCCTTGTCTCCCTGGGTCCTTCCGTACCTCTTTGGCTGGGTTGCGGACTTTGGCCTGGGTAGGGGAGCTGGCAGGCTTAGCCGAAGAACAACTGCTCCATACCCTTAACCTTTCCCATATCCCTTTAGAGTTCACTCAGGAGTGATCCGGGAAGCACGGGCGTGGGTCCCAGCTTTGGCTCTTGCTTCTCATCCACCATCCACAAACAACCAGCCGGGCTTCCGAATGAGGACGTCGAGGAATCCAAACTCGCCTCCTATGGCGCGATGCTAGCTCGTGCATTCAGCGCCTCTTTCCCTTATTCCCCCTCTATGGACCACTCGACCTGTATCCGTGCGTCTACAAACATCGAAGATCAGAAGGTTTCGATATCAGCATTTCACCCTTTCATTTCCTTAGAGTACAGAGCCCCAACTCTGCCGCGTTTCTCACCTCCCCAAGACACGAATTGGGCTCGGATCATTACTCAAGTCAAGCGCGGACCGGAGGGGTGAATCACCCGTAACCTTGGCTGTCTATTGGATGATCATTTGAACATCCAATACATCTTGAATTTATTGCCTCCAAGTCGATCCTTCTTTTTCTCAACTTCTTCAGAAAGCCTGTTCTACCGTTTCCTACTCGACATCGCGCTCACCTTTCAGAAATCCTATACACAGCCGTTCTTCCAAAACAAACCGTCAAACACAGAACTGCTTTTCCTGTCCGTTTCTCCTGGGAGGTTTTAGGTGTGGATATTAAGTTGAGGGTTCTAACGGACCGTTCACGCCCACCCCCACTGGCGCAGAACTCAGATCAAGTCTGACACTGAAGCCCGTCTTCCTACATATACGCTCCTTGTATCGACTGGACTCGCTCTGGACAGAAACTCCTTCACGACTTTTGTGTCCATTCTGTCAACAAGACTAGTTCACGGCGCCTGAGACTCGGTTGCGCATTCATTCATTCATTCCTTCATCACCATGTCTCGATCAGGCCGACGAGGCCCTTGGCTACCAGAGGAAGATGCTACCCTGTTACATCTTGTCCGAACACAGGGCCCGAACAACTGGGTTCGCATTTCGGAGCACATGCAACACCGATCACCCAAACAGTGTCGGGAGCGATATCACCAAAATCTGAAACCGTCGCTGAACCACGAACCCATTTCGGCCGAAGAGGGCGAAGTGATTGAGCAACTGGTCCGCGACATGGGAAAGCGATGGGCAGAAATTGCACGACGACTGGGGAACCGGAGCGACAACGCAGTCAAGAACTGGTGGAATGGCAGCATGAACCGCCGGAAAAGAAACACAGGGCCGCATGGCGCTGCTAAAATGGTGGGATATCGAGCGCAACCCATTCTGGCATCAGCCTCGTCTCTACCGATGAAGCAACTTTATCTACCAGACCAGCTCGCGCACCCACCCTTCTCAGTCTCGGATCCCTTTCACAGGTCCGAAGTCAGCCCTTCAGACACACTAGCCCTGCGACCAGAGCGTCGGTACGACCTGCTTCCACGACCAGGCGGGCATCAATTGTCGGTGCAGACTGATTGCCGGTCCCTCTTGTACCCAGGGTCTGACCAGCCGATCTTGAGTCCTCTTCAACCTCACTCGGCATCTGGTAACCTTCCTAGCCCGGGGGGGAAACCACTCCTTGGGCTCCATAGCTGGTCTCCCACTCGATTAGAGTGTCAGCTGCCCCCCCTTAACTGGCACGAAGCGCCTGTTCCATCTCCCGCGGCGACAGAAGCTTCGCAGGGATCGTATCCCCAGCAGGCGCCATCGCTCGTGTCGGACAACCAGTCGAATTGTTCTATTTCGCCCAAGACGGTGACCTCCCCGCGCCCTGGTGGGATAGTGGGTCAATTGCCGTCTATCGATCTGTGGCCAGAGATGCACCGCAGAAACAGCACGGGTAACTATCCTGATGCCGAGATTGATGGCACCTGGAAGGGGCGGGCACACGAAGACATGAGACTACATCGATCAGGAGGCCGAGCGGATTCGGTAATCCCCGAGGTTACCATTCTCCCAAGCCTGTCACGCCCAGCATCACTTCGCGACGCGGCAGACAACCGTCCAAGTTTCAGCACGACAGAGGGTCGCAGTCCGACCCCATCTAGCGGCAAGACGACCGAGAAAGACACTCGGATGAACGTGGCGCGGCTGCTTGAATGAATTTACGGGAGCAATATCAGTGTGTCATGCTCGCCCTCAAAGCCGGGCCTACTACAAGTAGGCATGGCAACGAGCATGCCAACAACATTTTTTGCTTTATTCGGTCGGGTCTCCAACGACCCATTGTAATAACACGGCGGTAAGTTGGCCATGTGGCGCCCACTTGGAATTTCATGAGTGGCAAGACTCTACGATACCCCAAAATCAGCAAGGGAGGTGGCGGGGTGTTTTTTCGGGTTGCGGGTATCAAGAAAAAATCTATTTCATTGTATTGACATAATGTTGGGCGGGGACTTGACGAGATTATCTCTTTGCGGGCGGGACTGGGAGTCCCAGGGTTTGGGGGAATTTCAGTTGTATTGAGTCTACAACGGATGTTCCAGTTGGACTTCCAGGAAACAGGTTGCAGGGCGAACTCACTGGGATGGTCTTTTTTTTCCTTCTTTCACTTCTTGATACGAACACACCTTGATGGGGACTTTTGATGATGGACAGGCTGGTACATAGCCAGAACAGGCAGGATTGCAGCACGCTGGAACGGCCCACCTATTACTGCGGGCGGGATGCAGAAAATACAATACGGCAAAGTATTGTCTAATTGTGACATTTTTTTTTACGTTTTACGTACATAGATTGGGCTTTCCGACAGTGTACAAACTTGACGAGGTACTCGGGGCCATGAACCTCATGTGCCGTGGCTATCTTTGTTTCTATTGATAAAGTAACTTTTGCAGCCTCAAATGGGTGGCCAGACCGTTTTGGAACGGTTGCTTGTGTTTTTTTGTGTTGTGCGTTGATGTGCATTGATGTGCATGCATCCCACCCACATGTTTTTTGTCAGTTGTTCAATTATTTACTCCCGAGGAATCTTTTGGTGGCGAACCGCGAAGTCTTTCCGACGGGGAACTTGGAAGCTGGAAAGCTGTTGGGGAATGAATGTCAATGATACCATGAGAAGCTGAGGTGAGGTGAGGTGAGGGAGGGGTGGTCGAGTCGACAGGGTTCGTTTCCTTTGTCGCAAGGCCCTGTCTGGTCCACCAGAAATCCACATCCCACCGTCGGTCGGCCGTTGACGAGTAGGTTACTCGGTATTTGGTCCTGGTTATGCCCATTGCTGGGCTGGCAGGCTGGGCTGGGTGTGCCCGTCACAAAAGACCATCACATCACCGGGGGTGGCAATGAATGGCGAGCGCCGCCACGCGTTCGTTCTTCCATTATTGAGAAACAATGACCCCGACCGAGCTGGGGCGGGCAACTACTCTACTCTACGATATCTGTCTGTACTGGGTGTCTGTACCTCGTAGACTTTGGACAAAAAGGGGACTTTGGGGCGCGCCACCTTAACAGAGCCAACCAATCACGCGGCTTCGGCAGGGATTCGAAGTCTTTCCCCCATCCCTTCTCTCAAGCGTTTCTCACGGCAGCGTCACGACCAGGGCTGGCTTTTTTTGCCCAGGGAAAGATTTGAGAGATCGCCAAGAAGCGCTAGACGTCAAGATATCTCGGTCTAGCAAGGGACGAGCAGGGCGAACAAGCGAGGAGGTTTTGCGACTAGGCCTTCCCTGCCGGTGCGTGGAGCCCTTGCCGAGTAGGTACTCGTAAGAAGGGAGGGAGGGGAGATCTTGGATGTCCTTGTGTGCTTGTCAACTTGACCTCCACCAGCCGCTTGAACTTGGAACCTGAACTTGAACACTAGACAAACTGAACGCTCGACGCTGAACCGGGGTCATCGACCTCATGATGACTACAACTACTACTACTAGCCCTGGTCCTGGTCCTGGTTCCTTGGTGACCCCGGCCGCAATGGCGCTCTGGCTTGGAAGTCCAAGGAAACCCCCAGCCACAAAAGGCACCAAAAAGAGACTTTGGGTCGCCGATCGGGCTTCAGCAGTTGGTCCCCGTAGCGGGACAATTGGGACAATTGGATGCATTATTGGGCACATTGGGGAGCTGACCCCAGGATCCATGGGGGTCCCCATCCAGGTCCCAAGCGTTTAACTTGCCCTCTGCCTCTGGCCTCTTTGCGGCACCGCCTTGCCCTGGCCCTGGTCCTGGTCCTGGACATGCCGGCGCGGGTCCCCACTACTACCTACTACCTACGAGCGATGCACAGAGAGGAAACCCAGATACGAGTTACTACTTACCTACCTACGATTCCCTCAGAGAGAGACCCTTGTTGTGTACTCGGTAGAGGCAAGGCTTTCTTCCCTCTTCGCTTGTTTCACCCCGCTAGCAATAGCTATTGTCGGTGGTTGTCGGCTGTTGTTGTGCCAGCCAAGGCTCCCATTCAACCAATCTACCCATCGAGCCATGTATCTGCCTGATCGAAAAGAAGTCGGCTCGGCCGACATTGAAGCGAGAGCGGGCGGGCGGCCATACCACATACAGTACTCGGTCCTTGTACGGGGTACGGGTACGAGGAGGGTCCTTGGATGGGTACGAGGTACTCGGTACAGCCTGGTGGTGCTTTCCTCTTCTACCTATTACTCCGTACGTACTCCGTAGGTACCAGTCAAGGCATGTCTTGTCAATGGCCACAACTAAAAGAGACCCTCGCCTCCCCTGACGGAGTTCCTACTTGTGAAAAGCTTGAGAGTCATTCGCAGCTTGGCCGTGGAGGAGCTGAGGAGCCCAGAGGAGCCCTGGAGGAGCCCGCCCCAAGGGAGATCATGATGTAACTTGCTCCCTCCCTGTCCACAGGGACCACAAAGACTTCTTAGGGGCCGTTGGACTTTTACTTTGTACATACTCTTCTCGTACAATAGACTCGTAGATCAGTGGACAAAAAAATCCATCGCCCTTTTGGACCTACGGTTCCACCACCCAGAACCCTTGTTTTTTTACCAAGTACCTCCCTCGTACCGAGTACTTGTTGTCCGCTGGGGCGGGTCTCTTTTCCATGCCTTCGATCTCGCTCCCCTTTTCTTACGATGTTACTAATAGTACGTGTACGTGTACTGGTAGGTGGAGGCATTGATTATTGATTTAGATATGCTCCTCGTATGGAGCTCGCTCGGCCCCGAGCAGAGGCAAGGCACGGACATTTTCTGTACTGTGAGGGCGGTTTGTTTCAAGCCACGGACGGGTGCCAGTAACCAACTGTGAACAGTGGACGGTGGACAGTGGACAGTGGACACTGGGTGACTGGATAAGAGACGCGGTGTGGTACGGTGTGGTGGAGTGGAGTGGAAGGATCAGATTCAGATTTCCAATGCTACCATACTCGTATTATTCGTGTTTTCTCCCAGACAACAACAAGTTTACCAAGCACATTGTCCCCAAGTCCAAAGCACGAGTACTCAGCATATGTAAGTGATACCAGTGATATTTTTCGAGTACTACTACCGTATGCAACTTTTTTAACCCCGGAAAAGCTACCTCGTTACTCCTCCCTAGGTATGTATGTACCTCCGAGGGACTCCGTGGGTTAAACATACTGTAGCAACTGTAAAAACTGTATCTCCACCCACTCAGCTTTCAGCTTTCGTCTTTTCGTCGACTGAGCAAAAGATCGGCGATCTTTTGTCTCCCAGTAGAGTAACCTAGTCTTCCGCTACGGGTCTGAAGCGAGATGGTCAACGCGAGGAGGACGAGAGTAGCCAGCCAGTGATGACTGAGCTGGCTACCGCCGTTGAGCAAGCATAGGTACCGAGTACTTGATACTCGGGATCAAAGTACAATGATAATGTCGACGAGCAAAGGACTGACTACCTAAGTGAGTATCATACCGTAGGGAAAATATAGCAGGACAAAAAACAATGATGATACCCTTCTGTACCTCGTACTGGTATACGAGGCACACACCGCAATTGGATTGCATTGCAGATCCCGTCGGATCTTTTCTCCTCCAAGGCAAACGTCACAAATGTCCAAAAATGCCAATGTCAGTTGTCAGCCTTGCACCAACGAATATGAATGGCTGATTTGCGAAATCCCGGGTTCGATCTGCATTTGTCACAGCTAAGCGAGCTCACCAAGTCCCAAGTAGGTAGTCAGAAAAGGAAAAAAGGTGTGATGGGCGTCTCTGGCGTTTCTTGTCTATCTTGTCTGCCACGAGACAAAGGACGACACTAGAAAAATCCCTCTTCAAACGACCCTTGTCACCTTGTGGTAGTGGTGTTGGTTGACCCTGGTCTGCGAATTTCAGACTCGAGATTGACGGGCACACGGGCCAGGGTCATGTGTTCCACTTGTCCAGTCCGTGGCTTTTAGTCGGCGAGCCGTTCGCCGTTGAGACTTGGGGGCGTGGCGTTTTTTTTAAGTGCCTACGGAGTAGTGCCTAAGCGTATCGTCTGTACGAGGGACTCGTATACTCCGTACGAGTACTTTGATGGCATAGTCAGGATCTTCGTATTTTTCCTCGGAGGATCTTGTCCTTGTAATAAAGTGTCAAGAGGCATCGAGGGTATATACTTGTACTTATAACTATCCACAACAATGAATCTCGTCCCAGGATCTTGATCTGTTGTCAAGGAGATACTCGTACGCGTACCGATTCACCACGTAGAAGCTTGGACCAGCTGCTTTCGCCTCCCCAACGCCATGCTACGGCCAGCCGTTCAGCCGACAAACCATTATTAGCTAGGGCTGGTTGTTTGTTGGTGTTGGTGTTGGTGCTAGTTCCTCGTACTCGGTACCTGCTCGTTTGTTACTCCTCCTACAGATGGCCTCGCCTAGGGATTCGTACCTTGTCACGATTCACGAAACAAACATGCACGAGCCGATTCGCTGGAACATCATTATTGTTCAATATTGGATTGAAAGGAGGAGGGGGTGCCCCCTTGTCCCTCCGCTCGTGATACTTGTAAGATTGTTTTCGAAGCTCGGACGAGCTTACTCGACTCGGTACAAGTAAAGTGTCTTCCTTGTTGGTATCTGACTGAAAACTCCCCCCGGTCCTTGTTCATTGGAATCTCCCCGTTTTGCATACTCTATTGATCCTTCCTCTCACCCAAGTGGCGACAATTTCCTCGTAGACTTACTCGGTACTCTTTGCCAACACATTTCAGGAAGTCTCAACATTGCTACAAAAGGTGCTTTCGCCCAGTGACGCTGCCGCCTCACTCGTCCCATAGGATTTAGCGACCCAGTAAGAAAAGGCCTCCTTTCGACTTCGGCTCACGGCAGCGGCAAGAATTAACGACAAGGAGACCAGGGCATTTCCTTCTACTCCCCCGAAAATAGGACAGGCATTGCTCTGCCAAAGTCCATGCTGCTGCAGCAGCCCTTCTCTATCCCTTGTCGTTAGTGGAGATGCATGTCCGATTTGGCCACCCCCTTGGGCGCTCCCCCCTTCACCCGTTGAGCCATACCGTTCCATCCACAACGCACACCTAACGACTAGCTGACAAGGTCTGGATGAAAGATGCTGTGTGACTGATGACTGGAAGCAACCAAGATTCAACCATTGCTTGCCGTCCAGCCAAGATCTCAATCCACCCGCCCCGTGTTGTACAGCGGGAGAGCAAATATCTGCGCCTGGAATCAAGTCTTCGGATGTCCACAACCGGTCAATTCACCATCAATATTTCAAACATTTGCCACCCCCCCCCCCCAAATCGTGCCCACCGACAAGTCCCTCTAGGGACGAGGTACATGAGCATTCGTTCCCGCTGTCGGCCAAAAAAAAAACGGGCCAGAGAAGGAGGGGGAGAAAAGGCAATAATCTGTCAAAAAAGTGGATGCCAAAAACGGTGGGACTTACCGTGCCGTCACGCAGCCATCAACCTAGCTGGATGGCGAGACTTTCCCTTTCCCGCTTTTTCTTACTTGAAACTCTGTTGTTTGCTCCAACCGGCTGTCATGGAACAAGAGCACCTATCTGGGCACAGGGATGGATTTGTGGGAAGTCATCGACGGGGGAGGTCAATCATGGCTGATTCCAGGCCAAAGGCGACATGTACACCCTACAAAGGACTTTGGATGTTGGGCACCAGTCATTGCGCCATGCTTTCGAGGTGGAAAGCTCCCTCAATGCCGCGGCCAGTCAGCGAAAGGCACAGGGAGCAAAGAGCGGTAACTACCATCCCCATCATTCCCCATCATCCCTCGACATCGTTTGATCACAAGGCCACCTTGGCCAGAAGAAAGTGTTTCAAGTCGTTGAGCTTTGTCTTTGTCGCAACTGCAACTAGCTTGGTGCATGCCCGTTCAATCACCAACTGCCTGCGAAGCTTAGCCCTGGCCGTCTTTGCTCGTGCCCTCCCTGCATACGAGTTTGACTCCATACTTGTACATGGCCCCCACCGCACTCCGGCATCCGAAGAAGTCAATCGTCCTCGAAGCGTCAGCTCGGGTATCTCGACATCCTCGCAGAGATTCTAGAGGTACAAGTTCTGCTACACCTTGGAAATGCCTCTGGACGAAGCTTCCCCCTGGGCTGTTGGGGAGTATGTCGATCCCTCTTCTACGCTCTTCTTCCATCTTCCTCTTCGACTTGGTGACGGTGGTGGTGGTGGCGGGCAGATGCAGACTAGGTCGAGACCCCGACCCCGACGCAAGACCCATGATGAGCATGACGAGCAATAGATGACGGGGAACAACTGTCGTCGCCAAAACAAGGCGTTGAAACAATAAATCGCAACCAGACACTTTATTATTGGTCCCTCGGGTTTGCCCTGGATGCGACTCTCTCCAGGGCCCGTACCTACGAAGGAGACCTTGGTGTAACACTCCCCATCCAAGCAAAACTCCGCTCTTTTGTGGATCTTTGTCGGCGCGAGACGGTTATCAACGTCGATACGAGATTGGCTTGTTCCTACATACCTCGTACCTAATAATATGTCCACCAAAGGCAGGGTAAGGGCCTGGAAAAGAGCCAAAGTATATTTCTTGGGAACCATTTCGAGACGTGCAAGTTGTGCGAGTTGTGGGCATACACCGCTACCTGCCGACCGCGAAGAGTTGTATCTCGCAAAGGGGACTAAACTACGAATGCTTACTACCCTACTAGGCCTCCCACAAGTCGCTTCTCGCCTGCTTACCGCTTAATCAAGCCCAAAGTAAACTCCTCAAATCCAGATCGGTCGATCTTGGTTTGTTAGAGGCATCTTTTTTCGGTGTCGTTGCTTCCTATTCGGTCGGTCCTCGGATATGCATGCATGCATGGGTGTGTGTGTGCGTGCGTGAAGGCGTGAAGGCGTACATGCAGGTGTGTAGGGTACTGCACTGCAGAGCACAGCACAGACAAGAACAGACCAGACCAGACCTTGTATGGCGTTGGAGGGGATGGAATAATGGAGGACGAGGAGGTGGTGGTGGTGGAGGGGGGCGCTTTAGTCTTGATTCGGCACCTTGCAGATCCTTTTCAGCTGAACCAGGGCCGCCGTCCAGAGCCACCCACCAGACCAGACCAGACCAGGTACTCCGTACTCCTAGAGCCAACCAACCAACCAATAACAAGGCAGTTAGGTAGATATGTACTTGCATTTGGAGATGCAACGGACAGGCTAGACAGACGCCCCTTCCCTCCCTTGCCTTACCTCCACCTTACCTAGTCCCTAGTACTCACCAGCCACTACTTGGTTCTGTAGTCCCTACTGGTCAAAAGTCAGAACTTTGCCATGCCTTCCATTGACTTGCCTTGCCTTGCATTCAATAATCGCAACCCGCCAACCTCCATCCACTACTTATCCACTCTGCCACTGTACCCGTATAGGGCTTCGAAGAAACAAGGAACTGTCCAACGGCCAACGCCCAAAGCCCAACAAAAGACGTTTTTTCCAAGGTACAGTGCATACATACAGTGCATACATACAGTGCCTACATACAGTGCATGCATATGGCGCATGTATCGGACGCAGATGCGGACGCGGACGCGGAACTTGCAAGTTTATTTGCCAACGTTTTTCCTGCTGCTTGCTGCCTGCTGCTGCTAGCCTAGCCCAGCACAGCCAGTACCGGTGGTTGGTGGGTATCAGGTATCAGGTATCAGGTACGAGTGATTCACATCACGATGGCAAGATGGCCAGATGGGTTAGAGGACGAGTAAACACACACCCCAACCAAACCTGGCTGGAGCAAAGAGTGAGTCAACGAGTGTGTGTGATTGCTTTGACGGATCGTGCCATGGGTGAGAGACGGAGACGGAGAAAGACGGGCTTTGAGATGTGCTGTGTTGAGTCTTGCTTGACCTTCTCTCAGTCAACTCACTCATCGCTCCCTCTTTGGCCCACTACTGGCTTAATCATTGATCGCATCGCATCGAATCGAATCGACCCACTCCAGCATCACCCTCTGTCGATGACGGACTTTTGTTGGTTGCTATGCTATGATATGCTATGGTGCAAAACGAGCGAATCAATCACTAACCATTGTCCCCTCACCCCCTTTAGCAAAGCAAAAAAAGTACTTGTACCTGGACCTGTACAAGGAACAAGTAAAGGACGAGACCCGCACACGGCACAGACCCAAAGGCCCATTAAAGGCTCACCAAGGGCAAGAAAATTGGGCATGGGCGGAGATGGGTCTGTCTCTCTTTACCTCAAGTAAGTATGTTTACTTGTTTTTTTTAGGTAGGTAGGTCCCTACTTAGTTACAGGGGGAGGGAAGAAGAGGCAAAAGACCCCGAGTCGAATGCGATTCATGTCCGAGACATCTCCTGCTTTGTTCCGCAGTTTACCTCGTACTATCGCAAGTACATACATCGTCTCCTAGCTTTCCGCCGGCCGATTCGCTAACGGAAGAAGCTTTAGGGAGTGGTGAGGAAGGTGGGAAAGGATTCCAGACTACATTTCTCTAGCATAGCATAGCATGGTATAGCATAGTTGCAATGCCATGCCATGCTGTGCCATGCTGTGTTGTGTCCTCTCCTCTCCTATCCTCTCGTTATGGACGATGGTGACGAAGGAGGGCAAGGGGCATTGACAACCTCTGCTGGTTCTCTACTTGTACCACTACTACCGAGTCGGGTACCGTCTTCGGCTTCGCACCCTCTTGAGACGTCTACTTGTTCGCCGTACAAGTAGGTACTTACTTGTTGGTCCGTGCCGGGGAGAGGTGAAAGGGGAGGGGAGGGGGAGGGCTATCGCGTTTTCTTGCCTCGCTTTGTTCCATATCACCGTCCCTTAATTGCTATGCCTCTGCCCTGTTCTGCTCTACCCTGCCCTGGATAGACTACCACATCCTTTCTTTCCAAGTCATGTCATGTCATGTCATGTCAAACCAGGTGCGAGTTCTCGAGCATTTCCTATCGATCGGTCTTGTCGTTTCTGGTCGGGTCTGTCGTGATTTACATCCTCCCAATCTGTCAATACCTGGCCGAATATCTCCCTCTGAAATGCGGGTCCTCCAACATGCGATGCCATGCGATGCCATGCGATGCCATGCGATGAGATGCGATGAGATGACATGAGATGAGCCATTCCTCCTTACTTACCTACCTACTCGGATCTGGCTCCATGGCGGCCGCCTGCACAAGTACATTGACGTACCTCAGTCATTCGAGACTCGACATTCGACATTCGACATTCGACACTCGAGTGCGCAGATATCCATCTTGCCAAAGAACAAACAAGAGGAAGAGGAGCGTCGAGAGGAGAGCGTCCGGAAGAAGAGGCGGCAGCAGACCTGATCTGAAAATGATGAGAGGATGGCTTGAAATGCCAGCCCAACCCCTGATGACCGACAAGTCTGGCACGGAGAATCAAGGGCCTTCTTCTTCTCGAGTTTCCGGCAGGGTCTCAATGCCTCAATGCTTTAATGCCTTGTTCGGCTTGACGGGTCTGGATGAGCTCGGGGCAGGCTAGCCAGCTCCACAGGTAGGGTCAGGACCAGAAACAGAAGGGATGTCAGTGATCTCTCTCACCCTCCCTCTCTTTCTCTTTTCCCCTTTCTACTCTTCCTCTTCCTTATCGTTCGTCTCTTCTTTACGTTTGCTTGTCCAGCGGCCATACATCCATCATCCGCGGACGAATAAGGACGTGGGTAGGGAAGGGCCAAAGGTCAAGGGGACCCGAGGCACGAGGCGAGAAGCAGGAGGGAAAGTAAGGGAGGAAAAAGAGGAGACGAAAGCAAGAAGTATGAAGAGAAGGGAAGAGAAGAGAGAAGAGAAGAAACCCCCGGCATGAATGAACATGTACGTACGTACCTGGCCAGGCATGTATGTACATACATCAAACATATCGCCAGAAGAGAAAAGGAGAAAGCAAGCGATACTCATACTCTCACTCAGCATGCGCAGTATCCTCGTCGAGATATAGACGAAGTCTTACATCTTATTATGCCTGGGACACAGAACTCAACATCTCAAGAACCCCAGCTCACCAAATACTCGAAGCTGGTCCTTTCTCATTTCGTAGACGTCGTCAAAAGAGTTATCTTTCATATCCCGTGTGATGATCGATGGCTTGGACATTCCCTGTTCCTTCCTTCCATCCAGCCGGCTGAGCCTGATCCATCACTCCCTAACACAAGAAATGAATCAAGAAGAAAAACCCCATATCGTGCATGTCTGTCTGTGTGTCCGTCCATCCCTGAGTCCCTGACACCCGTACACGTCCTTCGCACTGTGGACAACTTTTTTTTGGCGCCCTGCCTGTTCTTTGTGACAAGTCTCAGAATCATCCCAGCCCATTCCACCCGCAACACGCCAGCTCGCTTGCATGCGAAGCACCATCCCTGTAAAATTGCTCGCTCAGTCTTGCATGAAAAAAAAGGCACCTTGAGAGCTCACTCTCATTCGTTTCCCTCATAACCATATGTCACCACCTTCGCCTTTCTCCCACTTCCTCCAAGCAGACCAATATGCCATTTCCAAATCCCTCACCCATCGCTTCGTGTCGAACAACCGACTAGACCACCGTCCTTCCCATAACATGCGCCGCAACTCCACCAATCTCCCCCGTCCACGCCCCATTCTCTGCCCGTTCGACTCGGACGATGGGTATTTGAGGTCGAGGGCGAGATCAATCGCTGTGTCAATGTACTGCTTCTCGCTTCGAACCAGCAGATCTCTCCGCGCTTCATCGCCTTCGCGCCCTTCTGGTAGTGCACTAGCTACAATGCTTCCCGCCATCCGACTGCACATCTTATATTTCCATTTGCCCCACGTCACAATCGGCGTGCCAGACCACACTGTGTCGGCAGCAGTGGTATGCGCATTGCATTCGGGTGTGTCGAGGAAGAGATCCACAACGGCGGCTCGTGTAATGTGAGTCCCTTTGGCAGCCACGTCGGTAAACACGATTCGATCAGCAACTTGCTTGCCGGCCCATTTCTCTGCGTAGCGCTTGAGGTTGTGCTCCCCCAGATCCGGGAAACGCAACAGCCATAATATTGCATTGGGAACCCCCTTGAGGATCTGGAGGTACATGTCGAACGTGGCTGGATCGATCTTGTACAACTGATTGAAGTTGCCCAAAATGACGGCTGAGTCGGATAGGTTTGGAAACAACTCTTTCCTCAGCTTCCAGCGCTTGTCTTGTTCGCGCTCCCAAGCTGCTCCACGTTTGGCGGGATCGTTGTTGTTGGGAGGGCCACTCTCGGCATCCGGCGCACTTTGCTTATGG